GTAATTTTTTACTAACCAAACTTATTTTGCAGTATTCTATCTATTAGCAACAGGGTCACCTTTTTTGAAACACCCTGTGTCTAAGAAAAAAAGCAGTACATATTGGGACATTATGTTACTAGAGATATCTCCACAGAAGCATCCGTTTGTTTTTATTATCAATTTCTGAAATTGAAAATTGTAGTTTCAATAACGTTAACTTTTTTATACGATATTTTTTTATTATAGAGGAAAACTGCAAATCATTGAAGATGTTATTAAAAGATCGAAATTTTAGTATAAACCATAAACGTTGTCAACATATAAAAATGTCATCGTTAAATTGATTTGCTTTTTTAATCATCTCAAGGGGTTCATATAATGGTTCATAGATAATGCCTCTGTTTATATGAGTTATAATAAATGTAATTTACGGGACAGTTATGAATCTGTTATCGTTTGGTAATAAAGCTCAACCATCTAAAATACATTATAGTATCTAAATTTTTGCATAAAGTAGTTGGTTTAATATTGTAGCCGCTTGGAACCACACATCAGTAGAATTTAAAAGAAGAACTGTTGAAAATAACTATACTAAAGAAATTTTTGAGTTAATTATGTATACAAAAAAGAAAAGCAAGGGAAAGATGGCAATGAACAAGAACAGATATCATTTAGTACCGGCAGAGAGCATATATTGGATCCATGGCTGGAAGGAAATATGAAGAATACCGTTTTTCAAATACAAAATTTAGTCCAAACCGCAATAAGCAAATCTGTAACAAATAAAAAAATTAAAATGAATGAGGTTAAAAGAAAAAACTGGATAACAAGTTTCCTAGTTACTTCGGTGGGTCAATTGAAAATTAAAAAGTTACAAAAATCTAGAATTTATCTCGTCCAGTAAAAAAAGTTTTACTTGAGTAATAAAAACTTTGTATTTATTTTTAAATAGTTTAAATTTGTAAGTTCTTAGTTTAGTTTAATTTAGTTCAAAAATTGTATAAATTATTTAATCACCACACAAGCACTTCAGCCTCATAGAAATTGCAAATATTTATTGACATATTATCAATTGTTATTTGTTTTTCATGTATTTACTTTTGCCAATAAATATTATTAATATTAATAAATCATCTCTTTCTTTACACCATTACTTGTGTACTAATCGTATATTAGTTATTGTAGCTGTAGACACCACTGCCAATCAAGTAATAGCTTTGCAATTTTTTCTGTCATTTAACCTGCAGAAGAATTTATTAAAAATAGTAAATATAATTAAATTTAAACCTGTCAACCATAATAGTACTACATAAGGAGAATAATTACCCATATTTAATTGTACAAAGAACTATTGTGGTTTTGATTCACTTCAATAATCTACAGGGTGGCCCAATTAAAACAGTCCACCTGAAATATTTTGTTATGAAAAGTTTTTTTTGGAAATCCTCGAGACTGATAGATTTTGATTTCAAAGGGGACTTCTTCAAGAATAGGTTCATTCCCCCGTTCAGGGGGGGGGGAAGAATCGGTGAAATAAATGGAAGAATTCCAAACAAATTTTAATTATTTAAATGTTTAAATTACGACCCATTTACTTCCATGCAGTATTAAAGTTTTTATTTAACATGTTCTTGAACATTTCGGAGCACCTAGTGGCGAAGTTATAAATTTGAAAATAATTTCCAGCGATTTTCAGAGACCATTTTGTATTAGGCATTCCAACGACCTGTCAAACTGCTGTCAGTTGGAACTGACAGTTTAGATATGGCAACCCTGTAAGCCAGTTTTCATTGGCAGGGTTAATGATACATATATAGTTATATAGATTGCTCAGAGCGGGTCGTTTGCGAGCTGCCATATTGCCAATTTCCAGTTTTTGAATAATAAAACAAAAATAATTACCTACATTTTAACATAATATGCTTATGTTTGGTTTTAAAAACATGGAAGATCAAACTATCTAACTCTCTATATTAGTGATCATGTCAAAACACCAGGTCTACAGTGTTGCCATATTATAACCAACCATATGCCTGTCATTTTCTATGGATAGCCATTTTGTAAACGATTTCTTAATATAACAGGGCGTGATTTCTAATTTGGACGGTTTCCCTTTAAAGTTAAATCTGTATTTCAACAGTATTATCCGCAACAATGATTATTTTTTTACTTCCGGCTGACCATAAGCTCTTATTTATGGAATAAATTTATCAGCATTTATAAATTAAAAACTTTGAAAACCTCAAAAAGGTTTATATAATCACGTTACCGATAAAACAATTTTCCCAGTTATTGGAACATAAACTTTTCCTCTCAAAGGACAGCAAAAATAAAAATTCGCCAAGAGCGTATTTCCAAATCGTCCCTAAGGCATTTTACTGAATTTATTCGATATTGAGATTTTTTAAATTTGTTCTTGTTTTTCTTTGATCTACTCTTGTAAACATGTACATATACAGTAGGGGAGATCGGGACAAATTGGTAATTTTTTCCAAAACACAGACTATTTTCTTTATATTGTACTATAAACCCACACACCTAGAGAAATATACGGCTATGAACGACTGCGCATCTGATCTGAGTGTCTATTGAAACGGGATAGAATACTCCGCCATTTTGCCAGCTAATTGTCAGATTTAAGTGTCACCTTTTGATGCCGATAATGCCGATGCTATTTTAGTAGTTAGTTACCTAGTCATAATAATAAATCCCAATGTACCATCCCAATTTTCACACAGAGACACCTTTACGGGGAAATTATGATTTGTTCTTCGATCCTGCATTGACGAACCCCGGGGGTTCTGAGCAGTCAAGCGACAGCATTATCTTTCATTTTTTTCGAATGATTTGATCAATGTATCTGATTTTTAAAGTATTAGGAATATGTAATAATGCAATTTCACAAAATATTGTTAGTAATTGATGCATAAACATTTTTTTTTAATTATTATAAAATGCCTATATAGATATAGTAACAAAGGAGCTTGATGCATGCAATTTAACAAAAACGCATAATGTTGGTTGCATACTGTCTGGCTTTCACATTACCATGCATTTTGGTTGCATATATGTTTTGACAGATTTCTGGCAAAATGGCGGCTTATTAGACTTTTCAATTGTTGCCGTGTCGGATGTCTCTCTTGCGCTGTATAGTCATCTAGGTGTGTGTATAAACCCAAAATATACGTTGCCATCAACAATGGTAACGGGCACTCTATGAATTTTGAAGCACAGAAAAATCAGTAAAGATTTAAAAAACGTTTTTAATATTAAAAGTAATCTACTCCAATATCAATGCACTTTTGTAATATTGTTTACAAGTGGAATGGTGGAATGCCTTTATCCAGTCGCTCATTGGGATAAAATGTTCGTCAGCGTATTATTTTTTTTAGGTTATTAGATAGCCAGAAATCACACATAGCTAAATCAGACGAGTACTGTGGATGTTTAAGTACTCTGACTGTTGGAGCAAATGTTCACTGGTTTGTTGAGCGGTGTAAGAGGAAGCATTAGCTTGATTTGACACCCATCTCATTACAATCTTTTTTAAATGAAGATGTTCATTTATGATAGTACGTGTTATGAATTAAAAAGGTTTTATTAACAGAAGTTACATTCAAAATTGATGACAATCTAATAATATCAAAACTAAAATTAAAACGTCTAAATTATATCGCATGGAACTAAAACCCTAGGTTTTATGATTTGATATCTATCTAGGTTAAAAAGAAGAAGAAGAATGTTATGAGGTTACAACATTCCTCCTTGGTCACCACATACTTTGAATTTCTCTTACTATACGGAGAATGGTCGAACTGCGCAGCTTTCTGAGTGCCTTTTAAAAAGAGATAGAAAACTCCGCCATTTTGATGCCTTATTACGTGTTGCCTACATCTTGGGGCAATATTTTTAATAGCAAAAGCGGATGATTAAAACGCACCTGATATTTTGCTTGCTGCTGTCAGTGTCAGTGAATATTATTTTTGAAGTCACAGTTTATTGCTAAAGAATCAGTTAGCTTACTCGGACCAGTTGAAAGTTCCAAAATAACATCCACTCCAGGGATACAAATGCAGGATGCGCAGAAGACTGCTGTTTTATTATAGGCGGTTGTCATATATTGTATTATTCGAGTTGCACAGTGTATAAACTGAAACATTGAGATCCAAAGTGCCGACGCAGAGTGAGCGATCTGATTCTTTAGCTGTAAACTGTGTCACAGGGTTCAAAATGGCCGCGCCCTATGTTGGGCGTGTCGGCCCTTTTCTTCTCATTAACCCCTTGGTTAAAGACAGGGAGGGTTAACAGTGTAGGTTCTTTATTATTTCCTAAATTACCCGGCTAATTGATAGGTTACAATCAAATAAACAAATTCGTACTGAGAAGAGTTCTTTCAGGAATATATTTTAATTAGACAAAATATCTGTAGTTATGTTGGACAATATCAAGATTATCAAATGGTATAAAATTCAATTAGTATTCAATCGATTACCCAAGGTTAGTACTAACTGTGGTTTACAGTAATGAATACCGCTTATAAATATTACTCAAATAATAAATTATAATTTGTTTACAGTATGTTTTTACTTCTCCAGTTGATTCCTTTAATGGGTTTAATGCACTGAAAAAATGAAATGGTTAAATGAACAAATAAAAAGTTGTGTCAACCGTTTCCGATGCTCATATATGGCGGACCTTCTGCATGTATTGGTTTAACCATAAAATAATGTTGAATTAATGATGGTTCCTTTAATAGTTAACATACTTCGTGCAAACTACAACTATTTGTTGCAACAAAGGTGGAAAAGGTTACACGAACATGTTGTTTAGTGGAATACGTGTAGTTCCTTTAACCTTTCCACCATTAACCCAACCAATATTCACTGTCCACTGAAGCACTAGTAAACGTTAGAATAACACAATTAGAGGGTTGAATGTACGCCTTAAAATCACAAATCAACATTTAATTACATATTGGAAGAACACTGTAACTTGTTGAATTAAATACCAACAAATAGTTAAATGAATGTTGTAAACTGTTAAGTAAAATACTTTACACGTGTTGATTTGACTTTAAATTATGTACAGGGTGGGCAAATTTCGATGTTTTAATAGAGAATCTCGTTAACTATAAATGGTATGGAAAAATGGATCTCCCATCCTCAATATCTTTTTCCGAGAAAAACTTGGCATTTTCAAAAATTGGCTATTGTCTTTTGTTTTCGAGTTATAAACAAAAGTTCGTTTTTGCAAATTTTGATTATATGCCATTTCTTGTTTATTTATGAAATTAGAAGAAAATAATTTATACGTTCTTCAGGCACTTTTTTGATAATATTCCAGTGGCGTAGTTAATTTTTTTTTAAATACAACTTTATGCTATAACTCGAATTTGATGAATTAAAAAAAATGACTACGACACTGGATTCTTATTAAAAAAGTGCCTAAAGAAGGTTTACATTATTTTCTTTCACTTTCATAAATAAGCGAGATAATGACATATAAAGAAAATTTGAAAAAACAAACTTTTGTTTATAACTCGAAAACAAAAGACAATATACAATTTTTGAAAATGCCATTTTTCCGTACCATTTCTAGTTAACGAGATTATCTATTAAAACAACGAAATTTGCGCACCCTGTACTACAATGGGGATGTCTGTTTATTTTTGCAGCCTATCTTATATACAGGGCGCCCAGTTAATTACTGTAGTTAGAAAAAGTGTAAATACCAAAGTTGTGTAGTCTTTTAATATCTTTATATATCTTTTTTTAACCATTTTATTGTATATTGGGAAGAAATTAATTTCATAAAATGTCAATGAAAATCTTTTTTATAAATAAATTTTTTATTTAAGTAAAAATAAACTTTTTACCACTTGCAACAGTGTGGAAAAACAGAGGTTTTATATTATTAAGTTCTAAATATTTGCACACAAACAGTTCGTCCATATCTTGTATTTCATAAGCATGTAAATGTGTATTTAAAGAAACAGTTTCGAACTTTCTTAAAATAAAAAAAACATCAACTTGTTTATAAACTAAAACAAACAAAATTTTCCCAAACAATGGCAAGTCATTATCAAAACTTAACATCAAACATTGATCACTATAATATTTTGTACCAGATATTTTAACATACTTAGCTGCAAATGAATTTTCTGCCACTTCTTGTCCGTAACTGGTCAAGAAAAAAATGTACTCCTTGCAAAGATTAGAAAACGAAATATTTTCAGAACCATATTCAAGGTGTCTTGACAAGTTTTTATTAGCTAAAATTCTGCATGAAAATACTAACTGATTAATTATGCTCTCAGTGCTTTCTACAATAGACGGTTTCCAACCTTTAATCCTTCCTCTGGGTGGAATTAGAGTGGATAATAAGGTAAGTTCAATAGACCTTCTGCTATCTACAAAATTAGTCTGTTAAAAAAAGTACATACATGTTTTGGTTCCTTACTTTCATCTAAGTCCACCGTCAAATATTCAAACAGAATAGCTGAATTTTTGTCTGGTGTACTCGATTTCAGCTTTATTATTTAAAAAAAAAAGTCCCCATTTGTAAACAACAAGTTACATTTGTTGGAAAACAGTTTATTAAAGTCATATCCGATCTGAAATATGAACAGATATTAAAAAACTGAAAAATATTTTAAATGTAGGTGTATGTACCAATTCGAATGATTTTTTATTTTTTAAAATTGTCCATTCTTCAAGGAAATGTTGTACAGTTACCACTGTACTCATTCTTCTTAGTGGAAATGTCTTTTTCCAGTGGCCTAAAACAAGGTCCCATGGTTCTGACCAGTTCTTGAGCCATTCTAAACTGTCCGTTACGTCACCTAAGAAAAGAAAAAATATTAAATGACCTAATAAATTTAAAACTTTTAAAAAACATACAGTTAAAAACGAGTCGTGTAAAAGCTATCCACATTTTAAGTCCATATTATGTTCTGAATGAAAGGCAGTTTCCAGTGAGTAATAGACATGTTATTCTTATAACCGCAAACATTTTAAAGGGTGAATATCATAAAGATCAATGTTGGTATAACTTACTTGTCAAATCAGCTGAGGCTTTCTGAGATTCATTTTCTTTTCCATCTTTAATGCAAAGCTTTTTTTTTAAGTTTCTATATTTATCTATAAGTTTGCCTTTTGGATTTATTGCTTTATTTTTGAGGGTGCGTTTCAGTGTTACCCTTGGAATGTAGTAGGTATCCTTACTCTCATTGGAAAAAAGTTGACAAATCTTTTCTGACAACAACTGGAAATCAGTAGGCAATAGGGACCTAAAATTGATGCAATAATTTGTTTATCAAACCTACTATTAAAAACATGCCAATATGATACTGTTCACACAGTAGTCTGTGAAGAGTATTATAGATTTACTTTCAAGAAACCAAAATTGTTAATATTCATCCAAATTAAAAAAAAAATTGTATCAAAATCCTTTTCGTCAAATTTTAAACAACTTTCAAAAATGTCCGTCCGTCTGCCCGTCCGATGTCATGTTTTTTTGTCCACACGATAAGTCAAAAACGAAACATATCAACTTGAAATTTAAAAAAAAAATCATAAATCAAAATCGAAAAACAGTATTAACTTGAAACTTTGAATAAAAATCAAGCTCTATGGGAGACGAAGTCTATTAATTTGGAAAAAAATTTGTTTAAAAATGTGGTGTTTAGGGGGGGGGGGAACTTGAAAAAACATAAATCAAAAACGAAAAACAATATTAAATTGAAATTTTCACAAATGAAGCAAGCTCTATAAGAGGGCGAATCCTATTGAAAAAAATAATCCTAATAATGATGGGGTTTAAGGAGGGGTTCAAATTTAAAAAATCAGAAATAAAAACTAAAAAACGGCATTAACGTGAATTTTTTTTATGAAAATCAAGTTCTATAAAACGATGAAGCATATTAATTACTGAAGAAAATTAGGTCTTTAGGGGGTTAAAATATTTAAAAAATCCTAACTCAAAAACGAAAAATGATATTAAATTAATATCTTTGGGGAAAATCCAGCTCCATAAAACCTATTGATTCTGAAAAAAAAAAAGATTAAAAATCAGGGGGGTTAAGAGGGTTTGTTAAACTGTGAAGAGTTTAACATAAAAGGCCAAGCATTATATATCTTTACTCTAGTTAGAAATATAATTTCGGATTTACTTACGTCCCTTGCTGTATAGCACCATTTATCAAAATGTCCACTAGTAGGTCTCTGCATTTTTTATTTAACTTTTTTTCCTTTTGAAACATTTGTAAAATGTATTGGCCATGAACAGTCTGCTCTAAATAACGTTTTAGATCAAGATTATAAGTGTGCAAAGCTAAATTATTTTCTAAATATGATTTGCCACAGAAACTCATTTGACGTTGAGAAGAAACTTCATATGCCTCCTTAAGCTCATTATTAGGTTCTTCATTAAAAATGACATTGTAAACAACGCTACTGCTGTCGCTAGTAGATGGCGGTGGTTCCATAGTACTTTCCATGTTAACTGAAGTGGCTGAATCTAATAACGAAAAGCTGTTATCTGACTCAGATGGAACTACCTGTAAATTTGTTTATGTTAATAACTGCTTGATTTTATAGAAATTGTTGCATTATTCATATACTTACACTTAATGTATTTGAGGTAGTAATAATGTCCATTTGTTAAATTTTTTGAAACGTTAACAATTTTTTTAGAAATTTTATTCTGGGGCCTACTTTATTTATTTATTTTTATTCAATTTTATTCATTTTTATTTATTTATTTTTATTCATTTTTATTCATTTTTATTCATTTTTATTCATTTTTATTCATTTTTATTCATTTTTATTCATTTTCATTCATTTTTATTCATTTTTATTCATTTTTATTCATTTTTAATCATTTTTATTCATTTTTATTCATTTTTATTCATTTTTATTCATTTTTATTCATTTTTATTCATTTTTATTCATTTTTATTCATTTTTATTCATTTTTATTCATTTTTATTCATTTTTATTCATTTTTATTCATTTTTATTCATTTTTATTCATTTTTATTCATTTTTATTCATTTTTATTTATTTTTATTCATTTTTATTCATTTTTATTCATTTTTATTCATTTTTATTCATTTTTATTCATTTTTATTCATTTTTATTCATTTTTATTCATTTTTATTCATTTTTATTCATTTTTATTCATTTTTATTCATTTTTATTCATTTTTATTCATTTTTATTCATTTTTATTCATTTTTATTCATTTTTATTCATTTTTATTCATTTTTATTCATTTTTATTCATTTTTATTCATTTTTATTCATTTTTATTAATTTTTATTCATTTTTATTCATTTTTATTCATTTTTATTCATTTTTATTCATTTTTATTCATTTTTATTCATTATTATTCATTTTTATTCATTTTTATTCATTTTTATTCATTTTTATTCATTTTTATTCATTTTTATTCATTTTTATTCATTTTTATTTATTTGTATTTTTTTTTTCATATTTATTCATATTTATTCATATTTATTCATATTTATTCATATTTATTCATATTTATTCATATTTATTCATATTTATTCATATTTATTCATATTTATTCATATTTATTCATATTTATTCATATTTATTCATATTTATTCATATTTATTCATATTTATTCATATTTATTCATATTTATTCATATTTATTCATATTTATTCATATTTATTCATATTTATTCATATTTATTCATATTTATTCATATTTATTCATATTTATTCATATTTATTCATATTTATTCATATTTATTCATATTTATTCATATTTATTCATATTTATTCATATTTATTCATATTTATTCATATTTATTCATATTTATTCATATTTATTCATATTTATTCATATTTATTCATATTTATTCATATTTATTCATATTTATTCATATTTATTCATATTTATTCATATTTATTCATATTTATTCATATTTATTCATATTTATTCATATTTATTCATATTTATTCATATTTATTCATATTTATTCATATTTATTCATATTTATTCATTTTTATTAATTTTTAATAATTTTCATCAATTTTTATTAATTTTTATTAATTTTTATTAATTTTTACTAATTTTTATTAAATTTTTTATTAATTTTTAATAATTTTTATTAATTATTATTAATTTTTAATCATTTTTATTAATTTTTAATAATTTTTAATCATTTTTATTAATTTTTAATAATTTTTATTAATTTTCAATAATTTTTATTAATTTAAAATACATACATACTATTAAACAAATTTTCACCCCTCATTTCCCCCCTTAAAATGTTAAAATGCAAAAAACCCTAAAACACTTCATTATTTATTTATAATGAGAACCAACTATTCAAATTTTCAAGTTCCTACCTTTAAAAAAATCTATACTTTGAAATAAACTTTTAGCCCCCGTTTCATCCCTTAAGATATGAAAATCCAAAAACCCTCAAACATGTCATTATTAATTTGTACTTCCATACAAATTTTCACCCCCCGTTTGTCCCCCTTAAAATGTGAAAATCCAAAAACCCTAAAACACGTCATTATTTATTTATGCTCATTAACTGTAATTCCAATTTTCATGTTTTAAATTCCAAAAAGAACAAAAAAAATCGATACTTACATACAAACTTTCACCCCCCGTTTGCCCCCCTTAAAATGTGAAAATTTAAAAACCCTGAAACACGTCAAAATTTATTTATGCTCAATAGCTGTAATTTAAATTTGAGTTATGTCGGACACCCTTTACATACGGACCAGAAGGATTACCATGAAAATATAATTTATCATTTGCTTTTCTCTAATAAGTGACCATCTGCACGAAACTTAATCTTTAATGCCATTTAATACACTTTATAATATTTATTTAAATGTACGGCATGTATATTATCTAATATCTAACTATATAGCAGCCATTTTGATGAATTTTAATACCTACCTAACCTAACATACCGATTACCCAATAATATAAAATAACAAGTAGAGGGTTCAGAATTCGTCTGTTTTATTTCCACATTCGCCTGTACGTACAATAAATAATAAAATTAGCCAAATTATATACTTACCTCTAAATTTTAGTAATTACTTAACACTGACACTGAACAACAACAATGGCCGATAACCGTGTGGTTTACAGAATCTAGAGTCTAGAGCTAGAGAAGAGACGTCGCTTGGCGGCTGCCGTATAAAGTAAACATGGTGGGGTTACTTACTATTCGACGCATGTGTATTTGCGATATGACAATGTTTCAACAGCTTAGGTTGTCTTGTTGAACTTACGAGGCGTTTGACCCAACATATTTAAAAAGTTAACTCAATAAGTCGTCTTGGCTGGATCAAGAAGTATAAAGGCTTGAATTAAACCAAAAAAGTATATCATTAATTACAAAAACTGTTCAGTTAACATAAATACTTTGTTGTCATTTATTTAACATTTAGTAATTGTTGGTTGAACGTTAAATTGCTAACTCGAAAAAACTGTTACTTCAAACTTTCGCTAATGGTTGTGGTAACAAAATTATTGTTGATACAACAATCAGAAGGTTCTACCAACCATCTAAGGCTTAACAACGCGAAAATGGTAAATCCAACCATTTTATTTTTTTCGGTGTGGGTACCACCGACAGGATGCTTGAAAAACTAAACTAATCTTACTTGTTATAAAGAGGAACACTTCAGGTTTTCTAGATGGTTCTAAATTGAACTGGTAAGTAACTTTACCATCTTAATCTGATAGGCACTGATTCCGTGATTTCAGGTACTTTAGCAGCCTATGGAATGCATATATGTTATTTAACCGGGACCAGGAAGCGAGTAGGGGTAGCTGTATTCTAATAGCTACTCTTTAGCTATCTACTTAGCTCGAAGCAGCGGGAGATATAAGTTAGATTGCTAGGTAAGCAAAAGCTGAGGGAGCAGGTATTCTAAAAAGGCCTAAAATATAATTAGGTACAGTTAGCTTGGGTAAAAAAAGGCATTTATACTATATATTACTAATGCATTTATTTTAAACATGTATTTCTGTCTATAACTTACCACTGTTGGAGTTGGGCCTCATAAGTTTATTTTAAAATTATTTAGGAAAATATAATCCACAAAAGTGTGTATATATCTTCTTAGATATATAAGTAACTAATCCTAATAATAATTTATTCTTTTCAGACTAATTAAATCCGGAAAATTCGGAGTTGCACCACGTGCACGTCTCTAGGTTAGCCAGGAAAAGAAGCGGGAACAAGAGAGAGAAAACGAGAGAGAGATAAACACTCTAGAGAAATTATGGAAGAAATAAAGACCCATATCCTAGCAGTTAAGCAGCCACTTAAATGAAGGGCTTAGCAGCATTAAAGGCAGTACTGGTAAATGGTAAAAGAAGAATATTCAAGTGATCTGTGCCCTATACATTAAAGCTATTTATGTAAACATAACCATACTTAGAATGTTTTTATTATTATTAAATTACGTCTGAGGATTAAACTATTTTATTTATGTTTTAAATGAACTGTTAAGAAAATTAATTTGGATTATTCATCACATCTTGATAGTCGTAAGTACATTTGTTCTTTTAAAAATCTCGTCTTTTACTACAAATCGTTATTTTAATAAATCAAATCTTATTATGCAATAAACCGGTAACACTTGCCTCGTATAGTAATCAAAGTATGTGCTTAGAACATATTCTAAGACAAAAACCGATCTTTTAAAAACGAATGACGTCAAATGAAATGTCATTTATCACAAATACCCGCGTTATTTAAATTCGCCAATCATAAATCGTCGTGTTCCTAACTGGCCAATCATAATGCGTCGTGAACCTAACACCGAAAGGGTTACCCTCCTCAGTACATAACAAACCCATTTGAGTAACACCTCTTGTCTTATATATGCTCTAAGGTCCAAATTATCTTGCATGGAACTAAAACCCTGTTTGGATTTGCCTAATCACTTAATGAACTATGGCTTCTTTTGAATTCAACACACCATCTTAACACACTCGCTCTGGATGAAGCTTTTTTTCCCAATACTTGTTGTAATCATAGTAAATTATAGAACGTTATTGCTCAGTCGACAATTCTATTTTTACTTTATATAATTTTTTACTTTTACTTTGCTTGTAACAAGTTACGACATGATCTGAATACAAAGCACGTGTTACCAAAGACAAACGTTTCTATTTACACGTGTATTAATTTATTTCAGTTGTAATTCTAACATTGGTGTAACTCCTATGAATTTAAATAAGACAGACGTGAGTTAAACATTAATTAGCATTCAGAAGCTAACATCGAAAAACTGAAAGATACTTTTCCTTTTTCTCAAGTTTATCCTCTTTTATCTCCGCGATATTATTCCAGGAAACATATAAACGAAATATTTTTGGTAACGAGCTTTTTATTTTTTGTGCGCTCATCAGTCTTTGTTATGTTATTTTCTGAGGTTTGAAAAATGTCACTGTCAAGGATATAAGCTTTGTGTGTGTGTATGATGTGTGAAGGGCAATATTTTATTTCTGTCTAATAGTTAAGTCGTCTTTACGCTTGATAAATAACAAAAGTATTATTTTGACGGTTCGTTTCGGACAATTTTATTATTTCTGATGAAAGAAAAAATATATATTGCAATATGCAATTAATAAGACTCTTCCCTTGTA